GCACCTTCATCTCCGACAGAGGCAGCGACACCAAATGTGAAGAAGACAAGACTGAGGAGACTGAAAGGAATGTTTATTTGGTGAAACGTATGGTACATAGCTAAATTTGGAATACCATATTCTAAACCGGCCATTTGCACATCTTCACCACATCCTTGACGAATTGGTCGAATATCGTCTCATTCGATAGCTTCTTGGATTCTGCATCATATGGCAACATTCTTCTCATGGTTCTCTTCTTTGATTGCTTTTTTCGGTGTGCCAAACATGTTGTTACTTCGTTCCTGATATACTACTTATATCGGATTATAAGTAGCACTCACCACACTACTATTACTATTAATGCTATTCCCTTGAGTTTCGAGTGGAATACAGAGTTTCAGCAGCATATCTCTACTTCTTCTTGTTCTTTGAAGTTCTCTTTAGCTGGCTCCTCGATGTCTCATAAGTTTTCATTTCCTCTCTCCACTATCTCATCTTTTCCCCCCTCGAATGCCCAACCCGTCGTTTTACCACGTGGATTTCCCTCATGGCTGGTTTTACGTGGTGTGTGATGTCCCCCTACGGTCTTCTCACTGTCTTCCACCCAATCCATCTCCATTTTCTCCTGCATATTTGTTGAACGATAGCGTCTTGGTTAGTTTGTTCCTATAGTTTCTTGTTGCCAATTCTTTCTCACCAGCCATCATATTTTCATTATGCAGCCGGCTAAGGCAGATGTTGATAAAAGATTGTAATAGCCTGTTAGCAAAAATGCTCTTCTTGATGCACCAAGTTTCTGACCCGAGTGTTGTTGCTTATGCTGAGTGCAGAAGATTTCCAAACCGATTTCAAATTGATGAAGGTCTGTGTTAACTTTCGAGTTCTGACTTGCTTTGACACCCTCATCCGTGCCGGCTGTGTGTATTTGAAACGATGCTGTCTAGGTAGATAAGTGAAGGAAGTGAGATCTTTCAAATTTCTTCCCTTGATAGTGATCGGTGCTTGTTGTTGTTGTTGTTGTCATTGGCTGGTTTATTGTCTGTATCACTGACTGTTTACAATCTGTTAAACAATATCAAAGTGACTAATCTATGAAACAGAATTTCAACATACTTTTATCACAGTGACACCAAGTTATTTGATAAGAAATAACGTAAATTTGGAAGGATGAAAGTTATCAAAATTATTCATTGTTGAAATGGATAATTATTTCAAGGATATATGGTTTGACATCATTTGAAGAATATATGTGAAATATCAGGGAGTAGTAGACAGATGTTTTCTCGTAATGTGGGACTCTTCGAGAGAACTCACCTGTAAGTCGTCTTCTGATGGTTGTACCCGGGATCTTAATGTTTCACTGGGAAGAAATCCTGACTGACTGAAGTTTCAACATGGAACATTGGATAGAAGTTCAGCAGCAGTTCAAGTTGCCACACTCCATGAAGCACAAAAAGGCAGAAGAAGGAGACAGGAAGAAATGTGATTCTAAAGGGCCATAATATGCAAAATATTTTGGGAGAAAGAATAGTTACATGGAGATACACTGGGGTTTAATGGATATGGCGAATCACAAAGAGTGAATATCATTGGGGTAGATCTTCAGTCATATCGTCACTTCCATCCCGAAGACCCCAATCAGCGAGCCTACACCTCCCCACGTGGCTTGAACTAACTGTCAAAGATTTCATCAACTGATTCCAAGTTTTGGTATCTCTGAGGGAATTATTGAAAAGTAGCTGGTAGTACTCGACAGCTATTTTGTGACTCTTTAGCGGGATGCATTATAATAATAATAATATAACAATAACCTGCTCTCATCAAAACCTGACAACTTGACTTCTCTAAAACGCTATAAACCAGGAACATTCGATTCGTCGCCAGTGGGGTACAGCAAGTCGGGTGTAGTGAAAAATAATCGCCAGTGTCATTGGCTAGTGATCACGCTAAATCGTGAATTGGCAGAAGCTGGAATTCGTGAGTCATTTGATTAGGTCCCACTGGCTTAACGGTCTACGAGCTCGCTTTGTAACAGGAAGATACTGGTTTCAAACTCCCAGTGGGTACGTACTTCCTGATGAGTCTCAAACTAGGCTAACGAAATAGCTGTCCAGTACTCCCTGTATCCGGTTTTCCAATGGTTCACCAACCGATTTCAGCTCATGATGAAATCCAATATTCTAATAAATGAACATGTCTTGCGTATTGTTGAAAAAATATTGTACATTATGCAATACTGAGAGTGTTGATTTTTATTTTTCTCTTTCCTTTGGAACAGTCATCATGTACCAATCCTAACCTACTTTGATCCGATTGTTGTAGTCTTAGCAGTGAAGCTATGATAGCCTCATAAAATATGACCTCTTCTTTGACTTCAAAGATTCTAATCGGCTACATACCCAAACTAGACAATATTAGAATATGAATTATGAAAGGTCTGGCTGAACATACTTATATCGTGGTGACGTTAAATTGACGTAGTTCCATAAATGATATATGTCGATCAGTTATACAGCGCAAAAGAAAGGTGCACCCACCGAAATTCGAAACCGGGACATTCTGGCTTCAAAGCGAGCTCATTAGCCACTAGGACCCGATTCGACAGCTCATGAGTTACGACTAGTTACTGGAAGTCCTGTGTCCGAATCCCTGTGGATGCGTTCTGATGGAGAGTCCTGAATTAGGATGGAACCACTTTCCAGTACTCTCTGCTGGTTTTCCATGGTTCTTTAAATGACAACAATCCGTGACTAAACTTGAAACTAATCAAAACCGTATAATGTTGTGCCTTTTGAAAATACACTTGCTGATATATTTTTCTTTGTTCAAACTAATAAAGGCAATCGGTTGTCTGAAATTCTTTCTGATGTAATTCTAATTCACCTTTACTGACTATGATTGTATGCCAAAATTAATCGCTGAACAGACAAGCATGTATAGGAGTTTGAAGAAGAATTTACTACAAAGAATAGTTCTCTCTAGTTGTTTGTATTCTGAAGCTCATGCGAAACCACTAGATAGCTGATATCAAATCAACAGTTCCAGAGATAAATTATCCAGCAATATGATTGTGATAACTTACTGAATGAATTGTTCAGATTACAGTTGACCTCATGTGGAATTGAACGCAATTGTATTTCTATTCCTCTCCGATTTATTCTCTACTTTCCTTGCCTGTGAGAAACTAAATTATTTAATTTCAATCTTTAGATTTCGTCACGAACACTAACACCATTTAGGGGAGAGATCAATGGACAGTAAGGAGGACTAGACCGTTGTTTCGTCCTATTTCGAGACTCTTTTGAGGTGTGCACTCATGAATCCACCAGGAATTGAACTGGAAACCTTGAGGTTACGAGACTGCTCGTTGATGATTCACCCACCTGGGCTGGAATCCAATGACTTGTGGTGAGCTGCCTAGAATGATGGCCACATTGCAAACCTGACTGATAGAATTCAGTCTGCTCCATAGAAAGGACTAGACACATCACACTAGCTACGAGTGTCCAGTCAAAGAATTCTAACTTTGTCAACTCGTGGTATAGCAGTTTATCCTTGTGGTGTGATGCAAATTGATAGGTAGCGGTCGAAATTGAAATCAACATTTCAAGTGAATAGTCGAAGAAGTAGAAGTGTGTATTCCTCAAACGTGGAAATAACCTCATTGGACCACTTGTTTGACCTTGAGCAGCCAATCATTCGCCCCTGTGAAATGTAAGATGCTGCTACAGGACTGGACTACGTCAACTCCTTGCTTAGTGATAGGGATTGAAGTAATAGAACATGTTGACCACTTCACCTATTTGGGAAATTGTATCAGCACCAACGGATTGATTGGTGACGAAATCTCAGCACGGATCCAGAAAGCTCGAGCTGCTTTCGCTAACTTACACCGTCTCTGGCGTAGGCGTGACATCCGGCTGTCAACCAAGGGACGTGTATACTGCTCAGCAGTTCGCTCCGTCCTTCTCTATGGCGGTGAGACGTGGCCATTGAGAGCGGAAGACATGAAGAGATTGTCTGTTTTTGACCACAGATGTTTACGATCTCTTTCTCGCGTTAGGTGGTATAATAAGGTAAGTAATGTTGACGTTAAGCGTAGAGTGTTGGGCAAACAGGGAAAACCACTCGAAGAGGCTATGAAGTTACATAGATTGAGATGGTTAGGCCACGTGCTGCGCATGCCTAACCATCGTCTCCCCCGACGGGCACTACTAGCTGATATAGGTGCAGGTTGGAAAAGAGTAAGTGGTGGCCAAACAGAAACATGGCCTCATCAATCCATGAAATCCCTGACAGTTAAACTGAGTCAGGTAGGGAGGGAGATGCAGACTTCCGGGTTGGGGCCCGGCCTCGGGACTCTAAGAATCAATGGCTGGAGACACTAGGTGACATGGCTCAAAATCGTTGTCAATGGCGCAGATGTATTCAGTCTCTTTAACGTTCATATTCCTTTCTACCATTACTCATTCTGTTTCACTCTTATACTTATCTAAATTCTATTGATTCTCTTCTCTCATTTTCCTGTCCACCTTTGTGTGCTATTTTGGAACGTGGCAACTCGAACTGCTGCACTTCGGTGCCAAGTTCTATGTTGAATCCAGCAGCAGGGCAGCCAATCGTTAACCAATCACGACAATTTATTCTCCTCTGAATATCTAGTCAGTGAAATTTGATTATTGTTAAGAATACATAAATATGATGTTGTATTTCCTTAATGGAAGGTCTATCACATCCTCACCAATGCCACAAATGTTCAAAAATAAGGATAAAACAGGTGTTCAGTGCTCTCCGTGGTTCTCAATAATCTCTTCAACTAATGTCGGTTCTTGACGAAATCTAACAACTGAAATTATTTCGATTCAAATCCGGACAAATCTTACAATCGAAATACTAATTCACATTTATTGTGTCTAGTATTAAAAAAATAATAAAAATGACATTCCACTTTCTTCATTATTTATAATTGTTGTATAATCCCCTTTTTTGTTTCACTCCTCTATTTATTCTATATATAGGATATACCCAGTTTTGCTCGTGTACTGCATAAATTCGGACCAAGTCAAATACACACATGCCTAACCAATTTTCATATTCTTGTATGGTTAGCTGGTAATGATACACTCGGTCTACAGCTGTTCAATTCAAGCGAAGATGGTAAAGTGAATGAAGATATTCATGGGATAACTGGCCTTTTGAATGCCATAGCTATAGGCTGTTCAGGAAAATCGTCTACAAGTGTTAGTGAATCTGAAATAGCTATCAAAAAATGGGCAAATAATTCACCTATATGGGCTACTGTTCAAGAATTGGCTAATGCTGTGGTCTCTGGTAAGTACATTCTGTTTGTTTTGCTGTTTTTTTTCTTTGGTTTTTTTCTATAAGTGTATTTATCGAAGAAAATGGAAATGGATCGGGAAGACGCCGAGGAAACTGTCAGGTGACATCGCAAGCCAGACCTTCGAGTGGAACTTGAGTTGGAAACAATGAGTCGGTCACCCGAGACTGACATGCAGGGGAGGAAATGAAAATCTATGGGCAATCGTGCAGCCAGTTAAAGTGGACTTCAGAGAACAGGGTGAAATTGAAATGTGTTGTTGAAGCCATGTATTGCACTAAGAACCCAAGGGGGATAATAATAATAATAAGGCATACATACAAATTCCAATACATCGTGTCAATCGTTCCAGTTCGTTTTTTAATTGTTGATGAACGTGTTTTAAAGAATACGAAACCATTATGAAGCTATACGTGTACTACTGATCTACTGGTAGCAGTAGATGGGTACCACGTGTATCTGAGGTTGACAGCAGGACTTCCCCTGAGGTAGCCTGGCACAACATACACTTAGCTGTAGACACACCTGTGGAAGGTGTTAATAACCTAAAACCAAAAGTTAGTAAGAGCCATTGGATCTCTACTGCCTCATCCGAACTGATTGACGCAAGAAGACTGATTCCGGCGAGCTCCGATTATGAAGAGGAGCGAAAGCTGCTCAAACGCAAACTAACAAGAAGTCTGAGACAACAGTAAAAAGTGGTGGGTGACAAAAGCGAAAGAGATGGAAAAGGCATCGGCGATTGGTAACACCAGACAATTATTTAGACTTATCAAGGAAACAGGTGGTAAAAGGCAAACGATAAGTGAAACAATCTCTGAGAAATATGGCATCATAATTAGCTCCCAGGATAGACGACTGGAACGCTGGAAAGAACACTTTGAGGAGCAGTTTAATTGACCCACAGCTACAATTATCTTACCGAACATCCAACACCTCTATGAATGGGATATAGACACAGGTCCTCCTTCCCTAACTGAGGTTACTAAGGCTGTCACCAATGTGAAAGGAGGCAAAGCAGCAGGACCTGGTGGGATGACTCCAGAGGTACTTAAGTACGGTGGAGACAGTTTACTGTCTGCGTTAACTGAGGTACTAAGAAGCGTCTGGGAATCAGAGGTAGTCCCGTTGGGTTAGTGTAAGTCATTGATTATCCCGATATACAAGAAGAGAGACAAGTCATCCTGTGATAATCACAGGAGGATTTGTTTAACTAATATGGTATCTAAATTTCTAGGCCCAATAATCATGCGTAGACTAAGCGGTCCACGGGAGGCACAAACACGAAGGGAACCAGGTAGGCTTTAGACCAGGAAGAAGCTGTGTTGATCATATATTCACCCTTCGACAGATTCTGGAACATAGGCATACTTACCCGCGTCCAACAATCGTGACATTCGATACTGTCAACCGAGAGGTACTATGGCGACGCTTGACTGTAAAGGGAATGCCGAGAAAATGCATTGTACAGACGAAGACGCTCACTCTACTCGACCTCATGCAGCCAGGTGAGAGCTTACGGCGAGTTGTCATCCGAACTGGTGACAACTAGTGGCGTCAAGTATGCATTTGTAATGTTAAGCAATCTGACTGGTTGGTTCAGGGTCATTTGTCTGCGGTATCTATTATTTGCTCTTGCGACGTGAATAGAATTGAAGACGATTCATTTCGATTATGGGAATTACATTCTACCACAGTGCCCAAGTTTTATTCTTATATCAATGATTCATTTCGATATGTTCCTACACAATAATAACGCAACTAACTGGAGGTTTTGTTGTTTTTCTTTTCAATTTCTAACAGAAATGCCACCTAGTCCTCCACTGCCAACATCTCAGTCGGGTTCTTATCATTCTGCACTTAGTAATTCTGCAGTTTCTGTTGGCGTAGGCATAACCTCTGCAACACTCAATCCAGCAGATTGGTCATCACAAGCAATTGGATCGGTTACCACAGAGTCAAGAACATCCACACGAGACGCTGCTAACCATCAACAACACTGGGCATGTTCACATTGTACTTTTCACAATCATCCAGCTACTGATGAATGTGAAATGTGTCGTCTTCCTCGAAGTGGATGAACCATATTGATTGGCATGCGTGTATTCAATGCATAACACAACAACAGAAGAAAGAAAGAACAGTCTGAATGAAATGAATTATTGTTTTCACTTTGTGATTTTTCTTTAAATCATCCTAATGTTTGTATCCTTTAATGATCTTTATGAAATGGAAAATGAAAGGAACCGCCGTCTGTTTATGCGTTTGTTTGCCTGTGTGTGTGTAAACAACCGATGTCTTTTATTCTTTATGTGAAAAAATACAGATCTTCAGTTGTTTCTTTTTTCATATCTATGTGTCATGGTGTCTTGTTTTGTTTAGTGAACAATAAAAGTTTACCTAAGGCATTCATGAAAGTCAGTATTAGTAGATTATCAGCGTAAATAATAACGAGTTTGTCTATACTCAAACCTATTTAAAGTGTGACGAAGGTGAATCCGCCAACGTCGCCTAGCTTAAAGACAGGTAGTGAAGCGGTACGGCGTGTTGAAATTGCATTTCAGCTCCAATGAATGATTGCTGACAAAATCTCAGCAGGGATACACAAACCGCTCATGTGGAAATTCACCAACCTACGTACGTCATCTCTGGCGTCATTTTATCCAGCTTTCGATGAAGGAAGGAGGTTCGGATTGCACAGAAGTTCACTCTGTCCTCCTTCATGGCTGGCTGTGAGACTCGGTCACTGAAAGTGGAATATATGAAAAGGTTAGCTGTCTTTGACCACAGATGTCCCCGTTCTATCTCCCGTGTTAGGTGATATAATATGGAAAGCAATATCAAGATTAGGATGTCGAGTGCTAGGTGAAGAGGGAAAATCAATCGATGAGGTTGTGAAGCTGGATGGATTGAGATAGCTAGAACATGGATTACGTAGTATTTATTATTTTCCGTTTAAAACACAAAACCCAGTACAATATGGCACCAAGAAGATGCGCCACACAATAATAGTAAAACGACATATGAGGAAACACAAGGTGGACAATGAATAAAGGATTTTATCTGGGAAGAAAGCAGTTATATTTGACAAGACCAAACAGCATTCGTCGGATTATTTTCAGAAAGGGAAGAAAGAAGAAAATTGCAGCACGCCATTCGCCATTGATTGCGATTCTTGGCATTATCCGACAACTTTTGAGCCACCGACTCGAGTTGTCTTTAGGACCCCAACCAGAGAGTCGTGACTCACCGATCGATGCTAATGTACCACAAATATATTTCCACCCTAGCTTTCATGATACGGTTGGAAATCTCATCCGTCATCCCTCCGCCAGCACTGACACAAATACCCAGATACACGAGCTTATCGACAACTTCACGCGATTCACCTGCAAGAGTGAGTGCAGGCACAGACTCCTGCCAATCTTCTAACAGTACTTTGCAGTTAGATGGCGGAAAGCACATACCATACTTACAGACACTGATCGTCAAGTGATTAAGTGCGATTTGGGCAGCCTGTGTGCTATCGCACAGCTAGACGGTATTGTCTGCATACTCGAGGTTGAAAAGTCTTTCTCCAGGAAGCAGATCTACACCACCACCACGCACATCCTTCAGGGTTGACCCCAGAATGTCATCGATGGCAAAGTTAAGGAGGAGTGCATAGATTGGCCAACCCATTCTAACCCCACTGTCGGTTGGCAACAGTGATGATAACTGGTTGTATACTATCACTCAACCTGAGGTATTTCTGTATACGGACTTCAGGATATTAACAAACTCCCCAGATACACCCGGTCTCTAACAGACAGTTCCAGAGAACAGCTCTGTCCAACGAATCGAAGGCAGCCCTGATATCAAGAAACCCAACAATTGTTGGCCTGCAGTACGTGTGGCCGTGTTCCAACAACTGATGAAGGGTGAACACATGATCAGTGCACCCACAGCCTGAACGAAACCCAGTCTGCTCTTCGCGAATCGACTTCTAATGTGTTTTACACACCCTGTGAAGCAAGACAGCAGCCAATATTTTAGACGCGAGTGGTAGCAAACTGATACCCCTATGCTTGTTGCGTACGTTACGTCGACCCTTTTCAAAGATGGAGGAGGTGATGGCTTCATTCCACATTGATGGCACACCCTCAATTTTCCAAACTTTCCTGAACAAACCGGTCAAAGCCATGACGAGGATCTCGTCACCACCTTTAATTTGACCTTTGACCGGGAATAATTCTGGAACTTTCTTACCCATTAACTATAAATACATGAACCTACAGCCTAGTTGGTGACTTCGTCAAAAAGAAAATTTTCTTCGCTACAACCGTCTATTAATAATTCCTATGATCCAATGTGCATATTCCGTGAAAATGTCTTGAAGTACCTCTTACTGACTTGTTAAACACACTGGAATTATGTTAAGTAATTTTGTGTTCTGACAGTTTTGAGTGTAAACTGCTTATCCTAAATTATTACTATTTCCCTGGCTTCTGGACGGAACATAGCGCTTTAACAGCACATCTACATTTCACCCTGTCCTTTTCAGCTGCTGACTCCACACGATTGACCATAAGCTTTCACCTGCACCACACACGAACACGTCCATGTTACCCTCCAACACACAGGCCAAACTTGTTTCCCATTTGGGTTCCACCCATCAGCTAATGCGGCGTGTGAAATTACTCAATGCATATCCAATCCATCTCCGTTTACTACTGCATCAACTTAACTATAGAGGAGTAAAGAGAATGAAAGTGATCTAGAGAATAAGACATTAGACGATCCTCAAGTGTTTCTTACAGTAGCGGCTCTACAACAAAGAAGAACTCATCAATTTGGCATTAGGCATATTTGGTTAATTAAATTTTATAAAAATACATCTTCGACTCTTATGAAATATGTTACAAGTTTTGTGCGATAAAGTTAGTATAATCAACGTTGAATCACACTTGGTGAGTGAAAGTAAATGGTACCAACATTGAGCTTGAATCTGATCATCTGTGCAAAAATTATTGACTTTCACGACATCGATTTCTAAAATTTTCCAAAGAAGAAATCGCCAAGTGTTTCCATCACATTACAATGCAGAGATTCATTGTCTTCGACTAAATGCACCATACTTTGCATATCCAAGATCACAGCATCGAGAAGGTACATCCTTCGCTCATCTCCTGGATGGATATACACACTACATACGTTCACCGGTTTGTACATCAATCCAACATCTTAACCTAGCAGATTTATTGAGTGCTTGTATAACTGACTGAATATAACTCCAATGGGATGGGAGTGCTATTAAAGATTCAACTGATTTCCATTCTACTGAAGGGAGGTTTGTCGTTAAACTACTGAACCAATTGGACCATGATTCTCCGATTACAGATAGTTGACAATAGTGTACACTTTCGCCCGACTCCAGGCTATATGTTGAGTCCTATAAAATAAAACAGTATCGGATTAAAAAGAGAAGCTAAGATATAAAAATGTCATGTCAACACCTCTGGAAGTAAAACAAAATCCCCGTCTGATGCCATTTTGAAACTGCCATTTATCACCAGACCAGAATTCAACTTATGACTTTGTCACCCAGATTATTGTGCTCTTAAACGCCGCATTCATTCATTTATGAAAACAAAATTGCTACACTATGGACACCAAGAGATGCACCACACAAAATCTTATAGTTTGTGCGAGCGCCAGGAGACAGCTCGGATTCCCAGGCTGGAGCAAGTGGTTGTCTTAGGGGGCCATTTCCCGAGCCTCCAGCTTGAAGTCTGACCCATAAGGTAGTGGGGCAGAGTAAGACGCTAAGTCTCCGGAGTTTTCAGTGACCAAAACAGGTTCGTACACTGTTTGATCCTTTCAGATTCTGGAGCCCATGTACACCACAGGATATGAAGGAATCAAAGTTTCCCAGCTTCCCTAGGGAAGCCTACATGTCCACCAGTCCGGTAGTAAGCGCCAGATGTTCGCATTCACTCCTCCACTTCTATAAGGAACAACCCGTCCGCGTGAAGGCAGTAAGTAGGACTCATCTAGCAGAAGCTATGAAGGCGTGGCCACTTGACAGCATCTCGAGAGGAAGAGACTACAGTCTACCCACCCTCAGCCATACTTTCAAAATCTGAATCGAATATAATCAATATTTCCGTTACCAGGTTTTAAAAATATAAACTTTCGACTCAATAATCACACGTGTATTACGAATTGTCCTTAAAAATATTGTCCAGAAGATCACACATTCAAAGTAGTTTAGTTCAAACTATGAATTTTGACAAAACAATAAGAAAACATCATTTAATCTGAAACGTTTAGGACATTCTCATCACACATGCACTTATAATACGTATCTATATAAAAGTTAACAGTATAAAGGTTCAAAACTGAGTCAATACAAAAAAGAACTGTTTGAGGGTCAAAATCACAGTTGAGGTGAGAAGAAACCAAACGGGTGAAATTATTATTCCGTGAAATACACCTTCGCTTTAGCATTGGATTACAAAGGCAGGCTCAAAGTAATAATAAATAATTTCGGAACAAGTACAACCAGTTTAAGGCCTTTCATGGCTTAGGCGTCAACAAAATGAAGTATGTAACCTAAACCTCTTTTTCATATATAGCTCTAAATGTAATACTTAGGTCGACTCGTCTCTATGATGTACTTTGCGATAGATGACGTTGGACGTCTATTTCCAGGATTAATTGAATCAGACGATTTTATTCGCAGAAGTTACGTAGATGATATATCGTAACACATCGACAGATGACACAGGAATTCTTACAATAAAAAGTAGCATATCATTGACATACGTAGAAGGAAACAATGACTGCTTGCCACCTTTAGATGAACTCATAAACTTACCAACAGGATGGGTCAATAAGACGACTTGTCTACTTCGACGGGAATTAATCTATAGTTTCTGTCTACTCCAGTATAAAAAGGCGTTAGTAAAATGCTTGTTTAGATGTATTCAATACTTATGTGCGGAGGATATCATTTAAGAAGAAATACAAAACCCCACTAATATATTCTAATTATCTCCTGAAATCCATTAAACGCTATAGAAACGTCCACCAATCAGCTCTTGACAAAGATGTTTGCATAACCTTAACGTTTAAGGGCGATTACCAAAAAATCTGATCACCAAACAAGGACTCAGAGCCACAATCGGTATGACTTATTTTGCAGCTAAACTCATTTTCATTGGGAAGTTGGATTAATTTTGTTCCTTAAAATACAACATCTGAACGATAATGCCATATCACACTTTGTTTATCAATTAGCATGTATGTGTGGTCACATGCCATCCATCTCTGCAGATGACGTCTATAGAACATATTACTAGGTACCTGTAAGAACAATCGCAATTGATGCAGCTTCATAACCTCCTAACTTGAAACCAGATCTAGC